TACTGAAGTCAAAAATTTTGATTTTTACTCTACTGGTACGTCAAAAATGTTCTCTGAACTTAAACGTTTACTGTTACCTCCTTCACATTTCATTCCACGAATGAAAGTTAATTCAATTTCTTTAGTGAATAAGATTTGTGCTTCTTGTAACAAACGAAACTTTTTCAGATATCTTCTTTTGATCAACTTGTCAAAAATATTAGGCTTTACAGCATACCATAAACTGTTTATGCAATTCATTATAGTGTTCAGTTGATTTCTAAATGTTTTTATTCATGTTTTCATCAAAGGTTTAGTGACTGTAATCAAAGAAAAGTACTTCGGATTGATTGTGGGTCACCAATCACGCGATTACAATTCTGAATATGAGGTTTTGAATAGCAGTGAGTTCTTGCATTATCTAGTTATTGTTTGTATTCCCTCTTATTCTCACATTTTGTTTCATGTAAATGATTCAGTATTTCACTTGATCGATTTACGAAACTTAACCATTACACAGTGATTGTTCAATATGCATGGTTGTCGTACCACAACATTTGTGTCCAACATGTATTAATGAAAATGTTTGGTAAAACAGAGATTTACCCCGTAATTGACTGATTAGAAATGGTAAACCAATTATTGTTTTCGTCAAAGAGAAGATTACCTACTCTTTGGTCTATAAATACTACAATATAGAAGATGTTTCACCAACGCGATAGTTCATTGTAGACTAAATGAATCTAACAGATCATAAGCGCAATGATAAGCAATGTTGTGAGAGTGGTGAGTTTCGATTATTCAAGTCTACAAACTATCGAAGTATATTTGATCTAATACAATACCTTTCTAGCACTTACTTGATTGATGAAATTTTAATGTCTCTGAGTTTCTGTCAGATGGCCATGGAATATTAAACACTATCTTTGTAATCATATTTATATGGTTACGAACATCGAACTCAGACACTTTGTGAATGAACGACTATGAACTGTTCACTGGTACACAATACTTTACTCAAAATATATCACATAGAATATCAAGTTTATATCATTCTTTTTGGTCAGTTATGAGAAATGATGATCAACGGAATCTCAACAAAAAGATTTTGCATGCGTTGTCTGTTAGAATTTAAATGTCTCTTATCCATCAAAATGCTCCTAGAACAAATGTGACAGAAGCGAAATATTCATCTTCATTGATTTGATTGAGACTTTCTTTGCAACATCGAAACCAATCGAATCCTTGAACTTTCCTCAAGTGAGATGAATAAGCATTTAAGTGTATCGGTTCATTTAAACCTCGGAGTGTAGATGATAACTTGTATGTGATGGTAGTCCGTGTCAAAACGGACATTTAGTGAGAGAGATATATTTGTTCACTATTCAGAAATCTAAACGTTTTCGTTTTAATTTTCATTGTTTCAGAGGAATTACTTGCTGCTAAATGGTCTGTCAAAAGTGAAGAGGAGGATGGTACACGTAAGTGAACATTGAACGATCGTTTGATTATATATGAAATCCACACACTTCTATGCTCACTCATTTTGATAAGTGACAGTTTGTGTGACTCAAGTCATCAAAACAAACTGAAAACTAAAGAATTTTTCAACTTTACTGACCAATGAGATAAAAAATACCTATGATATCTACTCACTGTTTAATGTCGTTCAGAAGAACGACATTAGCACACAAACTTCAAGTAGAAGCGAAGTGTTCGAATTTCTCCACATGCGTTTCACAGCTTCTTCCGTACAACTCGATGTTGATTGGTTCTTATTGACCTTAAATTTGTCATTGTTTACTTCTTTGTTCTGGTTGTGTCTCTCATTGGTTTGATTTTTGTTCCTATATGTGTGCATAATTATCCCGACTGGCCGATAAGTTGGATCGATTTCAATGTGCTTGTTGATTGCTGGTTGACCCAAGTGCTGTTATTCTTTCTATCACATAACAACAGTAATAAAACTTCAGAAACTATACATATTACATTTGTTTCTTGAAAGAATAATGCTCATTTTGTTCACATGACGTCTACTCGAATGTATCTATGACAAATTCAACTGAAGAATACATTTCAGATAACACAGTAAACATCTACTGTAATCTGATTTCTTTAAAGATAGACACATACAGTTTTTACGTCTAACATTAACTTGTTTATTATCTATTTCTGAATTTGTAAGTACCGATAGTCTTCTTATTGTAGAGGTTACGTCCAATATAACTTATCTGATTTATCCAAATGGGAAGATATCTTTTTATTATGACAATGTGAGTTGTAGAATTGAATGAAAATATCATGTTGTTGCAAGTACTTTAGATGACTCTATTATTTTATTTGTATCAATAATGTTTTATGTAACAAGTTCCATTGAACACGAGAGAAAGTGATCAAAAACACTTTCTTCAAGCACTTGTTAAAGACTGCAACCAATCGTTTGCGTGTTCGTTCTGAATAGTACCAGATAATGTATGTTGGAGTACTTTGCGGAAAAACTGTAATATTCTGTCAGCATTTATTTCATATTCTTACTATCGACTATCATAAAAATCATTGTAGAATATTCTGATTACAACATCTTTGCAGTTATTCACAGTCACGTTTCGTCAATCTATAAAATATAAGCTGTTCATCAAAGGTGACTAAACTTGACTACTGTAGTGATTCAGAATATATATGTGGACTGATTGTAACATTCTTCTAAGGAATTGTATACTAGTATTATGCATAATGTTAGTCTGTAAATATGTCTTTGATTAAGATAATCGGAATGATGACACATTAGTAAATATTTAAATGGTTCTGATATAAGCGTTTGCATTCTGGCAGATCTTGACACGAACGTCAAAAATTCTTAATTTCAGGTTCCTAGAAAAATTGATGAAACAAAGTGGTTGTCGAAGATCGCCTATGTGAACAAGTCTAGAAACGGTAAGAATCTTTATAACGAATGTTTTCAACACTTTGTTGTACACACTGTCTATATGTTACTGAATATTGAGTAGTTAATGTCAAATAAAAGTTCACACTCATGAGTGAATGATCATTCGGTGGTGATAAATGTCATATGTGCCAAGTCCTTCATAGTGCAGATCGATTACTATCGACCAACTTGCAATGTGGCCACCAGTCTAGGTGACTCGACACTACGTGCACTATGTTCAGGTGAGGTGGTGATTGGAGGTGTCCAACAGCAGACACTGAAACCGGGTTTCGTGGCCCGATTGCCCAGGCGTAACATCTGCGACTGTGAGGTTGGGTGACACGAGATCGAATCTGTCAGAGAGCACCAGTTCCCTCAAGATTACAAGTAAACCTTGCTGACGAGTGTCAAGTAGCACGAAATCCGACTCCAGAGTCACCTGTTGACAACATTCAATCACCATCTCAAAAGTTTACACTTCTTGTCTTGTGATTGCAGTAGCGTACTAGATTATGAATGACGGTGTAGCTGAGTACTAAAATGTTAAGCAATGTTTGATAGTGGCTAGCAGTGAAATCCAGGACACACGTTTCGTTCAATTTGCGACTTGTCAGCTGAATGTACCTGCTTCTCAGATTTGATGTCCACTTTGTCAATATTGTGGCAATATGCACAGTATGCATATATGTCAATATGCGACTTATCAATCGCAATCCTGAACAAAAATTGTAAGTTTCAAGTGGGCAAAACCGTTTAAGTTCCAATCCTAAAAGTTTTCAAATTTTGTGATTACGTCTAGCAAATAAAAGAAAACTCATATTAACCGAATAAGTTTAGTTCTTCCTGAGAAATTTCATGGATAATGAATTTCATCATTGATATTGCTCACTGTCATTTTACCATATAATCCGAGTAAAACAACCAAGCTTTTTAAATGTATTTATCGCGAACGTGTGGAGGGCGATTCTTGAAAATATCACGATTATGGTTAACAGTTGACGGAACGAGACAGGGGTTTATGAATAACGACACATGGTACTACAGTGAGAACTCAACGTAAAATGAATGTGTGTATTGTGTGAGATAGGAATAAAAGAATGGTACTTCGAACTTATATTTCCTTTACAAAATGCTCAACCGTCATGCTTCACTGAAATATTCATGTGTTGTTGAGACAGAAAGCTAAGTTTCTAGACGAAAATCTAGTGTAGGCGGATAGGCGAGTACATTCTTTTACGATTGAATGTGAGAAAATGAACTTAATGTTTGGTCAAGTGGTATACATTTTTTGGACGAAATTTATTTTTGAGTCTTTGAACATTGAAGATAATTGACACTTTTGTGATGTTTGCTCAAACCCTCTCATTGGTGCTTCGGACTGCGATTAATCAGTCTCCTTCAGATAAATGTGCATCATGTGCTGACTATCTTGAGTTTGCCTTGATTCATAAACATTGCTAGCAAGGATAGATGGTGGCTGGCATCGAAATCAATTGCATTCCTGATGATCAAACGAAGCGATTTGTTAAACGATACTGAAATAAATGAAAAATTCGTCTCCTACCACAGGCCATTGTGTCTAAACTGAGTAGTTAAGTGTGTTACGGTACGTCGTTGAAAGCGCAATTGGTGAGTACTCGTCTCAAAATAAACATCAAAATTGATGTTCAGATACGTGCAGACGACAATTCTTAAATAAGACTAAACATGCGTCCTGATTACAATTCAAGCCACATTTCTCCTCTGGTCTTTAAAATACTGTGTTGCCTATTGTAGTTTGCATTATGAAAAAATGATTTCATATTTGAACGAGAGTTGTTGGAAGATGCCGGACAGATATCTTTGTGAAATAATTTGAGAATTGGTCGATATGATGTTTTACTTACTGGTTGAAAATTGATCGATTTTGAAAATCATAGCGATTTAAACTGTGACTGTTTGAGATTTTGCATCATCACCGCTGTATCGTTTATCAGAATTGTTTTTAAGTTCTTATTTTGAAAGCTTTTCAAATGGTGCAAACAACCTGTAACAAATAAACATGGTAAAATTGTAAATCTGTTTTTCTTTACTTTTCCTACTCAACACATGAAAGATTATGAATTTGTTGTTCCTGTTGAATGGATAAAAAGTGCCGTGTTGCTGGAGTTTGAATACATCGGGAGTACGTTGAAACTTATTTATTCAGCAATAATTATTTTCACACTTGAATACATCGCTGTTGTCTCACCAAACCAAAAATTGTATGTGTATCTGTAATCAACTATTAAATAACATACAGTCATCTGCCAGTGACCAAAAGCTGTTACTATTATCATCAAAGAATGTTGTTCGATCCGAATAATCTGGAACATTAACTGACAACACACAGAGAAGAATGCGGTCACACACTTCCACATATTTCATCATCGTAGGTCGACTGAAAAATTTACAAGAAAAGTGTCATTGATGAGTGCAAAAACAGTGACATCCTTCGTTTGTTGTTCCAATCGGGCAACGTCATTGAACATGAATCTTCAGTCTAAGAACAACTGAATTTGCTATGAATGAAATATTCAGTGATCTACCAAATCACCATTGTACAATTGATTTCTCGTTTCATGTCTTGTTATTAACTTACCTTGTATTCGATAACCTGAAATGAAATCGCATTATTCTTTTCACAGCCTATTGTCCAAAATACAATTCGAGTGAGGCATGCAACAGCTTGTCAACATTGAATACACATTGTATTTGGTGTGAAAGAACAAACACGTGCATGGTTATTACTGATAAGGATGCTCATAGCTTGAAAGTGAATGATTGTCACGTTAAGGTTAGTACATTCGTACTGACCGAGAACCTCACGGAAACTACTGAACGGACTGATCAATATTCGGTGAGTATTTGCGTTTTGACAAATAATCCCAAACGTTTGTTTCATTCAGGATATAACTACCGAAACAACTAAAGACAGTAAACAGAACGAAACACTTCAGTGCTTATATGTTGTGATAATTTTGGTCATCACCTTCTTTGTTTTATGCATCGTTTGTATTTTGGGGAGATGGTTGTATAAAAGAAGGAAAGCAATGAATGATTCTCAGTAACGACTTGAAATGAGTCTCAGAAAAACTCAATAACCCGTTTTTATTATTCTGAACGACTTTTTATTTTCCTGATTTCAATAGGAAATCTATTATTTAATTATTCATTTTAATGTGTTTGACAATTTTATTATGTGACTATGTATATCCTTATTTTTGGTCACATAATAAGTGATGTTATCTTGTTGACAAAATATCAAGCATGGTATGTAATGTTTGCCTGCTGGTTTTCATAAAATATATACTGCGACTCTTCACCGGAGTTTCACAAAATTTTGTATTGAAATTGGTAAAATTGTGCATACGTTATATTGTGATAGCTGCAATCAATAACGAGTCCGCTGGGAATATCCAACTTGATGCCTACTCATCACCGACCAACGTTGTTTAAATGTATTCCGTCGCGACATCTTATCAGCATATAATAAGCACTCCCATCACTCGTTACTTGTGTAATCCCTGTTCAGTAACTACCAAGTGACAAACTATTGTTAACTTGATCTTATGAAGACAAATTCAGATAACTATAGTGATAAGTTGTCAATCCAGAAAGTATAAAGTTGGCAGTTTTATTCAAGGCTCAGTCATTAAAAAGGCGAAAAACCAAAATGCTAACTAACCTACGCATTTGAACCCTCATGAAGGGAGGTATGTCTCACACTAGCATTCATCACTGAACTCTGTTGCTATACATACATTTCATGGTAATTTCCAATACGCATTGTAGTATTTTCTTTAGCATTTCTCATCTACGTTTCTCTTCATGAATACAAGTAAGCGCCCTTTTCGTGATGCCGTTTGTTGACTTCAGCTACACATGTCCTATTCCTAATTTACTCACAATCAGGAAGCTGGTTTGTTCTCTCCCACATTAGGCGTTGCTAACAGTATCCGGCCAATAGACGTTCAGTATCTTTCGTTAACAGCTATTTATAAGTACTTGTACCTTCTCGATTATGGTTATAGTGGTCCTCCAAGTTTCAGCTCCGGACAGTGGAACAGTCTTGACGTTCGTATTGAAGATTCTGGCTTTGATATTGGCTTACAGTTGATTTGGGTTACATATGTTCTTCAAATGAAGGAACGCGTCACTTGATTCTACAATCCTTGCCTTTCAGTCTGAATCTAAACCTTCTTGTTCATCGATGATACTGCCCAGGTACGTGAAGGATTCTACATCTTCAAAACGTTTACGTAAAATGTGATTCGGTTTGCGTCCTCTGTGTTGAACTTCACGAATTCGGTCTTCACTATTTGTAGGTTGATGCCTACTGATGCAGAGACTTTTGCTACAGGAATTGATTTCGTCTGCGTTTGTTCGTGTGTATGGGATAGGAGGGATAAGTCATCTGCGAAGTAAAATTCATCTAATTTGTTCTGAGCTGTCTATTGTATCAGATTTTTTCCCTCAGACATCGAGGTCTTAATAATCAAGTCAAACATCAGAAGAAAGAGGAAAGCGGAAAGAAGAAAGACTTGTCTGACACTAGTCCTTATATGGAAGGCATCTGTCAACAGTATAGAATGGCTCATAGCCAGATATACTTTTCGGATTCATATCCTCATTTCTTCGATCGTTGATGGAATGACATCTCTGTGAAGGTCTGTGTGTGCTGTTTTGATGAGGTTATTCACCGAAACGAGTTCATTCTATTTTTCGACGAATGAATGAACTTCGTTTGTTTTTTCAAATTTATCATTAGTTTCAACTCTCTCTGTTCAGGTTCTTCTTCTTCTATTCAGTCCTATCAATGTCCAAACTGTAGCGGTCATTATCTTGAGTGGTACTGGGGAACAAGGAGGAAACCTTTGATCAATCTAGATCAAAATGAGTCCAACCATGTCACAACATTTGGATAAAACGTGTTCTGTGTGAGTGTTTGACAGGTTTGAGCATGAGAGTGTGTACCAGTGAGTCGGTAAAATGTGCGCTAGGTATGAAAAGAAAGTTTGCGATGCATGACGTCCACTTAGGTCTGGTTAAGTTTAGTTTTCTTATACTTTTTGAATCATTCGTTCTAGGACAGTGTGATCCGGTCAATGTTTATAACCTGTGAAAATAGTCATTGACCTATATTCTCGTTTAAATGAGCTACTGGACTTCGGTTTTTTGTGTCAATATGATTGAGTATATGCACCGACAATGTCCCACTCCTACATTGTTTGAAGTTGTGTCGGTGTAATCACACGTTGGACCAGCTCAAATTCATCAATTTCAAACCGTTTTCCGTGAACTAACTTCCATGCAAACGGAAGTGACCAGAAAGCTTTGTATATATTGGTTAGAAATATATGATTTTGTAGTGGACACTGTAGTGGACACTAAAAACAGCAAAGGACCTAAGACACTACCTTTATTACACCACTTCTAACAGGGACGGCGTTAGACAATGAAGGGTTCATTTTAACTATTTGATGTCGATTGCTGAGAAAGGAATCAAGCCAAGCAAGCAAAGGATTTTGAACCCCATAACATGCGAGCTTACCTGTAAGAAGTTGATGGCTAACCATGTCAAAGGCTTTAGAAATTTCCAGATCTACCGCTGTGATAAGCAGTGCATGTTAATGGTTGCCGAGAACTCATCATTACATGAACGACAACAACCATTACATCAGTTAATCCCAAGATAATTGAAATCTCCTGTGATAACCTTAGCATTAAAGTTTAGAGAAAATGCATGTATGGATGCATTGATAATAAGATCATTCCCACTATTCAGACTACCAGGAGCTCTGTATATACATCCAAGTAGTAGACTATGATTCAGGGTGTTGACTGACATCCAGACTGATTCTGGTTAACAGTTAAGGACACTATCTTCAACTTTATTAGTTGTCTGGGCATACAAAGTATATATAATACATCCACCTTCTCGCTTAGTTTCTCTGTCACAGCAATAGAGTCGATAGTTCTGGATATTTAATTCTGAATCAGATAATGCTTGAGAGCACCATGTTTCAGTGATAAGTATGAAAGAAGGCTTGGCTAGAAAAGCTAATGTTTTCAAGGCTGAAATTTTGCTCAGAAGTGAACGTGCATTGATAAGTAATAAGTTTAAAGAGGGAGTATGGAGTGTAAAAACACCGAGAGATTACCTATTGATGTTATTTAGTTTGGATTTGCATAGACTGTGGTCTGTTATGTTTGACTGATCGTATGGGCTATCGCTTGAACAAACTGTATTGCTAGTGGGACCAGGGATTTTCGAAGGGCAAAATCATCATTATTTTGATAAAGTGGGTTAATTTGTTGAACTTGATTAGGCGGACAGTTAAGACAGGCACCTGCCAGTTGGGTTGATGGTGCGTAACCTAGTAATCCATCTTGCCCAATGAGAAAGTGCTGAGAATAGTTATGTCTTACAAGTTTATTATTTAAAGCGTTCGATGTTGAGTAACCTATTAAACCATCTTGCTCAATGGGAAAGTGTTGAGAATAGTTACGTCTTACAGGTATGTTATTTAAAAGGTTTGAGAATAACTGTAGGGTGTGTTGGTTCATTGTGGTTTGTCAAATATTAGGCCTGCTTACATAATGATTGCAGTGGCCATTTGTGAGAGATTTGAACCATGTCTGCCGCTATAACATCTACTACGATGCGTAAGGTAAAGCATGGTGTCGGGAAGTACAGCCTTATTTTTATTTGTTACGGTCATCGTAGTATTTTTGATACTGGGTCTAGAACCAGAAGGTTCTGTACTTACATTCTTCTTACGTGGCAAAGGTATTTTAATTTCGACAGCGTTTTTAAGAGTCGTAGCATTAGAACTACGTACTTGCTTATGGGCTTCTAATGGTAAACTGGGTAATATTGGATTAATGACGTCATTAGATGTACATTGGCTATCAGATGTCACTACAGACATTACAGGCAAATTAGCATTCTTCGTTGGTATATCAGAGTACTGGAGGACATGAGATAGGGTAGCTGCATCAGTGAATCCAGCAGCTGATGCATCTTGGTTTTTTGTGATCTCAACACCTTTATTTACGTTCAAGGTACGTTTTTGTGTAAGCCTTTGATTGGTGGTCTTATCTGAGACTATACGAGCGTTTCTAAATATCGTAAGCGCGCAGATTAGCTGCTCGGATTCTTTTACCGTTCAGCTAATATATGAAAGTCAAATATGAACAAGACCGGGCACGAGTATTTCTGGTGCTTTTTATTAAGTCGAATGCATTGGCATGGACTGTCTTGAAGGTTAGATGCTTTCAATATCGAATTCCTTAGTTTTATTGGGGATTATGTCAGGTATATTATTGACAATCACGTTATTACGAGAGATTATTCGCTTGGTAACGTCATTAGCGATAAAGTCGATAACAGATTCTGCTTTTATGATGTCATCAAGTTCCGTAATATTTTTTGACAGGAGCAGCTTAAGGGGTGATAATGTCTTTATTTCTTGTTTCAAATCATCATGCTTTGATACAGAGCTAGCAAGTGACTCAACTTTAGAACGCATATCGGTTAGTTGTTTAAAGACAGTGTTTAATTCACTCTTAATATTATCGATACTCTTTGATCTTGATGTGGAACTCACTATTAAATTAGAGACAGAGTCATCCAGCATCAGATGTGGTGTAAGACCTATCCCAACAGCTTCAAAAGGAGTAGCAGAACATGGGGAATAGGTAATAACAGAATTGTTATTATCTGAAGTATTAGGGCTTTTCAGGGCTCGTTTTTTGACAGTCGACCCATATCGCTTTAAGTATAGATTTTAAAGCTATTGACGGTCGTCTAACATCATATTGATAAAAGTCGTTCACTATCTTGTAGACATTAATAACTTGTTAAACCACCTATTTAAAAGTGATCTATGAACAGATTACATGATGATGTTCAGAACTACTCCTTCAATACATTTGTGGATTTATCTCATCGCCGATTGACATATGTTATAGATTTTATGAAAAAGATAGAAAATTAAGTACTCTTTGCATATAAAGTCACAATTATGAGGT